TGGGTGCACACTTAAGATTGTGCCTGTCGTCTTTGGGTAAGGGTCAAGATTTCAGGGTGCATCCAAGTCACGCTTTAGTGCCTGCTTCCTTCTTAGTGCCAGACGACATCCCTTGTAAGAATGTATCACACTTTGTGTTTTTATACTTCTGCGAATGTACACGGGCTATCTCTGTCTTCTAGCTATTGTAAACAATGTGTCCTATAAATTCCGGTGTGGGATAGCAGGCTTTTCTGCTGTTTGGTTTTTTTTGTTTGTTTGTTTGTTTTTTGTGTCTGTTTTCAGCTCATGTTTGAGACATGAATTGTGGAATTCTGAGATCATCCAGTACAGTCTTTCTCTGCTAAGTGAGGAAGCGGAGGCCACAGAACACCAAGCCTCTCCTCTGTTCGGCGGCGGCACTAACAGATGGTAATAAGGCCATGTTCTATGCTTTCAATCTAAAAGGTGGCTTAGAGGATAATGTTTTAAGAGCTCAGTCTCTAACTCTTGGTACTATTATTTTCGTAATACTTTTTATGTTTTCTTTGAGAATTTTAGAAATATATTTCTTTGAGAATTTTTAGAAATATTTTTTTAATATATCTGCCCACTACCAATTCTCCTTGGACCCACTCCCAAAATGGCCCCTTCCCAAACTCATGTCCTTATTATAACCCAATGAGACCAATGAGTGTTGCCCATATGTGCATAAGTGTGGGACCATAGGTGTGGCCCGTAGGCAACCTACCCATGGCAGCATCCACTGTCTTTTCTGTGATGCTACCTGAACCCTGTGCTATGGGCTGTTGATGTAGAGATGCTCTACTTAGAACTGAGCATCTGGTCACCTACTCTCAGTGTTTTGATCAGTTATGCATGAAACTTTTGATCAAACTCTGCATTATCTCAGCACTAACTGCTGTCCACAGCCAGTTTGGACCAATTTTACAGTTTCAAGGAGGAGCTCCATTCTGTGGAACAGGCCTCCAAGTCAGCCAGAAAGTAGCTGGTCAGATTCACAACAATCATGCCACTAGTACATGGCAGACATATTTCACCTGCCAGTTCAGCGCCGTGGCATGCGGAATCCAGCTTTGAGGAAGACCATTGTCATCTTTTCTTCCCCAACGCCCAGCATAGCACCTTCCCACATTATAGAAGGTAGTGCAGATGGCACTATTTGAAGGCTGCAGAGCCTTTAGGAAGTGGGTCCTGGCTGGTGGAAGTTGGTCACTAGTGTGTGTCCTTGAACGCACAAAATAGCCATTTGTGTTTCCAGCTTGTTCTCTCTCTGCTTCCTGTCTGTTGCCATGTGAACAGCCACCAGGGTAAGCTCCTACTGCTACAGACTGAGCTCCTTCCACCCTTGACTCTTCCTGTCTATGAAGTGCTGGAATGTATCTGAAACTGTGAGCCGAATATGTCTTGCTTTCCTTAAGGTGTTTCCTTCAAGGATTTAAGTCACAGCGATGCAAAAGTAAACAGTGCAGCATGGACCCCAAAGCTTGGATTCACTGGATGAGTTGTGATAAAGCAGGTATATCATTCTTTCCTGTAGCACCAGCAATCACACCTAGTATGGCATAGATGCAGGATAGTGTTTGAGCTATAGCCCCAGACCTATGCACCATTCTTGACAATTTGTGTTTACCCTTTGTGGTCGTTTGAATGTAACTGGCCCCCATAAGTTCATAGGGAGTGACATTAATAAAAGGTATGGCTTGTTGGAGTAGGTGTGACCTTGTTGGAGAAAGTGTGTCACTGTGGGGTTGAGCTTTGAGGTCTCCTATGCTCAAGCTACACTCAGTGGGGACACAGACTCCTTCCTGTTGCCTGAGGATCAAGATGTAGAGCTCTCAGCTCCTTCTCCAGCACCATGTCTGCCTGCACAATGCCACACTTCCCATCACGCTGAGAACAGGCTGAACCTCTGAAACTGTCAGCCACCTGCAATTAAATGCTTTCCTTTATAAGAGTTGCTATGGTCGTTGTGTCTCTCCACAGCAATAGAAACCCTAACTAAGACACCCTATGTTTAGCAAATGGATCACATAATGATTTTAAAATAATATGATTTACAATTAACAGTTACCCAATATTAGTCAAACAAAGCAGCCCAATTATCCATTGTTTTGTATTAGAAAACCCAAATTTAGCAGCGTGAAATAGGAACTATTTGTCAAGCACCAAGAATTCATATTAAGAAACTGGAGTGATGGCTCAGCAGCTAAACGTGTGTGCTGCTCTTCCAGGGGAGCTGGGGTCTGTTCCCAGCACTCACAGCAGGCAACTCACAGCAGTTTATGCCTCCTGCTTAAGGGGGATCTGATGCCTCTGGGCATTTTACTCACACGCACATAATTAAAAGTAAAATAAATCTTATGTTTAAACTCAAAATAAAACACAGTGGAGATTGCTTGTCTCTGTCCCATAATCTCTGGGCCTTAGCTGGGGAGTTCAAAAAGCAGAAGGAGTCACCGATTCACCTTTCGCCATCACTGGGGTTTCCCCAAGTGAAATCCACTTTCAGAGGTGAGTAAAGACTCGTTGCCATTGGTAAATCAAAATTGGTAAATCAAATTTGACTGGCTTGGTACTCAGGTCATCTGCGGCAGTAGGATTAGCAAACATCTGATTCACTGGGATCAGATAGGATCTGTGTGTTTTTACTCACGTCTTATGTCTGGGCTAGGATGACTCAAGGGCTGACCAGCTTGGATAATGGAATGGTGCATCTAATTTTTGTGCACATCGGGCTTCCCCACGGTGTTATGGAATCAAGGAGTCACACTTCTCTCTTGACAGCTCAGACTCTCGAAGACAAAGTCTTCTAGTCATTAGGCAGAGCTGGTGTTGGTCTTCCATGACCTGCTATCACATGACCTCACTGTCATCTTCTGTTGGTCAGAGGCACAAGTCCCTTGCAAGAGAGAGAGAGAGAGAGAGAGAGAGAGAGAGAGAGCGAGAGAGAGAGCGCCACAGTCCCATTTCTCATTAGACAAGGATTGAAGAGTTGGTGACACTGACGTAGAAGCCTGACTGCTAGTGAGTATTGTCCCTTTCTGGGAGGTCTCTCTTGGGTACCACATAGCTGTCCCAGTGTTACCATCCTTCCTTACAACTTTCTGGAATGCCGTTCTGGAAATCTATCTAGACTCTGCTGGGCGTCATTTTTGATTTACCAATGGCAACGAGTCTTTACTCACCTCTGAAAGTGGATTTCACTTGGGGAACCCCAGTGATGGCGAAAGGTGGATCGGTGTGCACTCAAACACTCAGTGAGCTGCTAGCTTGTGCAGGGAATGTGGAAGAGGAACCCATAATAAGAGCAGTAGTCATGCCCAGAATGACATGGTGATGCACGCCTTTAATCTCCAGCACTCAGGAGGCGGAGGCAGGAGGATCTCTGTGAGTTTGAGGCCAGACTTGTCTATAGAGTGAGTTCCAGAATAGCTACAGTTGTACAGAGAAACCCTGTCTTGAAAAGAAAAAAGAATAGCAGTCACACCAGGGAAACAAGGCCTTCTAAACACAGTATGAGAAGCACTCACATGAATGCACAGAGACTGAGGGAGCGTGTGCAAAGCCTGCACTAGAGGGGTGTCTACTGCTGAGAGGAAGAGTAAACCCATGACCCCATCCTTAACCCAGAAGCTATTTCCAATTGATAATTATTCACAAATGAAAAATTAGTTTTCTCCAAGGGAGTCTCAGCGGGGAAACAAACCACTCTCAAGAGCAGGCCCCATGCCCAGCAGTAGATGGCCAATACAAAGCAAACTCAATATCATCTTTGGAGGTTCTGTGTCTCATAATGTTTTACATATGATGCTTCTAGTGTTGTGTTTTTAATGGGATCATGTGTGAGAATGTGTGTGTCTCTATGTTTATATGTGTTTCTTTCTCCTTTTGCTTTTTCTTTGGCTCTGTTTCTTCTGTTTATTTAGTTAGATTCTGGTTTGTTTCTTTTTGTTTTATTTTATCTATATTTTTGTTATTCTTTAAAAGCTTGTTTATTTTCTAAGGAGAGACAGAAAGGGTGTGGATCCAGAGGAGTTGGGAGGTGCGAGGAACTAGGAGGAACTGGAGGAGGGAAAACTGTGATCATAATGTATTGTATGAAAAAAATCCATTTTCAATAAAAGAAAAAAAAATACTAAAAGCAAAAAAGAACAGTAGTGTGGTGGTTAATAAGAATGGCCAGCCGGGCAGTGGTGGCGCACGCCTTTAATCCCAGCACTTGGGAGGCAGAGGCAGGCGGATCTCTGTGAGTTCAAGACCAGCCTGGTCTACAAGAGCTAGTTCCACGACAGGCTCCAAAACCACAGAGAAACCCTGTCTCGAAAAACAAAAACAAAACAAAACAAAGAATGGCCCTGATGTATTTGAATTCCTAGTCATCAGAGAGTAGCACTATTTGAGAAAGATTAGGAGGTGTGGCCTTGTTGGAGTGGGTGTGGCTTTGTTAATGTGGTGGGGAGGAAGCTCTGAGGTTTCAAAAGCTGACACCAGGCATAGTCTCTCTCTTTCAGCCTATGGATCAGGTTGTAACTCTCAGTTACTGTTCCAGGGACGTGTTTCCTACTTGATGATAATGGACTTCGCCTCTAAAACTGTAAGCAAGCCTGTGAGGGCCACAAATGTGAGCCTGTCCTACCTTGACTAAAGGTTAGAGAGTGAGCTTATAGTTGCTCTTTCAACGTTGTTGACACCAGGTGTGGCTACAAACAAAGGTTTCTGACCTAGGGTGGGTTAATTAGTATTTTGGGTATCCCACTCCACCTGGACCAGAAGTCGAAGAATTCAAGTCTATTCCTTATATCATGTTAATGAAGTCTATTGCATCCCCCCTCCCCTTTTGGAGTGAAGTATATAAGCGTGTGGAAAATAAACGCGGGTTCAGTATTCACCGAATTTCCCTCCCTACGCTGTTCTGTGTTTCAGTCTCTTATTTCTTTTCTCTCATATATCTCCTATCTCTGTACCTTTTGCTTAATAATTCCAATCCTCACATTCCTGCCCTGGAGCCTATGAATTTTGTCAAGGCTGGTCCTCAATACAAGCCCTCAATTTAACGCTTTCTTTGGTAAGAGTTGCCTGGGTCATGATGTCTCTTCGCCGCAATGGAACAGTGACTAAGACACGTTGTCGCTCAAGAACAAACTTGAGGAGTGAACCCGGAAAAACAAATCAGACTGATAGTCTCGCATGTCTGAGAATTATAGGACTTATGAAACAGAAGTTCCTGTGCAAGAATGAGCAAGGTGATTCTGTGGCTCTCTTCTGGACTTATCTAAGTGGTAGAATTGCTTAACGGAGAAGAAGGACTTAGATCACACCGTGGTGTGGTGTCCTGCCAGAGGTAAACAAGCTTCCTGAACATGCCCCCAGGTGTTTTGTATTTGAGGTTTGAATGTCATCAGGGAACACCTCAGCACAAAGCACAGCATCCTACAGATCTTGGCCTTCATGTTCTTGTCTCCTATCTCTTTTCATCCTTGTGTTGGCTGGTTGTCACGTTACCTAGGCAACTGTCAATCTTCAGGGAAGTGCTCTTGGCCTTCCCCAAGCAAATACAGTTGATGCTTGTGCCATACGATCTGTCTCAATACAAACATCAATAGCAGCATTTTTGCCTCGTAGCCTATCAGGTACCCCAGAGATTGGGCCAGTAGGCTGAACACACAAGGATGGTAAACACATGTTTCACAACCCCCAAAATGAACTTGCTATCTTGTGAGTCTTGAGACAGCCCAGTCTACTTAATTTGGTTGTTTCTTTCAACTATATCAATTTTGTGATTTGAATATAAATGTCTATCATTGACTTCTGTATTTGAACTCATGATCCCCAAAGAATGGCATTGTATGGGAGGCCGTGCTAGCAGAAGTGGGTCAATGGGGGAGGGCCTTGAATCTTTTCTGTCAAGATATAGATAAAGAGATATGGTACCTCCCTCCTGTGATGGACTGAAATCACGTGAGATGAGCCAAAATAAGCCCTTCTTGTAAATTGTTCCTATTTAATATTTAATATCAATGAAAATCCAATATGTATGCATCAATTAAGAACCCTTATATCTGCCCCCCTCTTAAAGGATGTGGGGTGATGCAACTGTCATTCTATGTATTTGGCCTCTATAAAATGGGGGTCTCAGAAAGCAAGGACTTGGAAGCATAGAGTCTGTACTTTCTTTTATTTATTTATTTATTTATTTATTTATTTATTTATTTATTATGTATACAATATTCTGTCTGTGTGTATGCCTGCAGGCCAGAAGAGGGCACCAGACCTCATTCCAGATGGTTGTGACCCACCATGTGGTTGCCGGGAATTGAACTCAGGACCTTTGGAAGAGCAGGCAATGCTCTTAACCACTGAGCCATCTCTCCAGCCCGAGTCTGTACTTTCTTGACATGACTATCTCTCCATGGCACCTCAAGGGCATGTCATTGTGATGCCAGCACTTGGCTAAGAAGTGGAACCCCCCCCCCCCGACCTTCCCTTTCTACATGATGTTGTCATCTGAACCTCAGGACGGGCGCTAAACTGGAAATCACAGCAGTAAGTGGACAAGGTCGCTTTCAAGTCCCTTTGCTAACTCTGACTCACCACCCCATAGCTACTTCAAAAAGTTGCTGAGTTTTTTCTTATCAGTTTTACCCACCACCAACTCATGTTGAGACTTGATTCCCAATCTTGTAGCATGGGGAGGTGGTGGTATTGCGAATAAAGGGCATCCATCACCCTGTGAAAATACACGCCCACGACAGTGGGGTCACCACAGCCCCCCTCCCCACACCCCAGGCCCCTCTGCTCCTGCCACCACCCATGCACACCCCTCGACCCCTCCCACTCTCCAACTCCACACGTAGCTCCAGCAGTAATCGCTTTGTGATTTCACAAGCTGCCTGAGCTTTCAGAGCACCAGATTTCTTACACCTGTAAATCAGCCCAATGATGCAACGGGTAAATGAAGCAGGATTTGTAAGGTTGGAACCAACTTCTTAGTTTGCCCGGTCTGGTGCAATACAAAAATTTAGATCTTTTCTCCAAAGGCAGAAGGGGGAAAAGATTTCTTGTTTTCCAGGAGTCACTGTTAGAGGTTCTCAACCTGTGGGTTGTGACCCTTGAGGGCTGAAGACCCTTTCATAAGGGTCACTTAAGGCCATCCTGCATATCAGATAATTACGTATGACTCGTAGCAATAGCAAAATTGCAGTTATGAAATTGCAATAAAAATAATTTTATGGTTAGGAGTGACCACAGCATGTGGAACTGTATTAAAGGGTCGCAGCATTAGGAAGGTTGAGAACCACTGAGTTAGAACCTATCTTGCTGCTGTGTTGGCTATTTAATGACAAGCTCCCTCAGCAGAGGATCCACTCATCCCACAGCAAACTCTTCCAGACTCACTGAGGCTCTCTCAGAGGACAATGTCTGCCCACCAGGAGTACCAGGCACGGCTCATGCCTGGATCCAGGAGCAGATCCAGGCAGGAGCAGGGCAGCCAGCAGCCAAGGTCAAGCCACGGACCAGAGGGTGGGAGGTCAGAGGCCAGACAGGACAGAGAGAGTTCCTTCCCCTGGGCCAGGCATACATCCCAAGTAAGGAAGCCAGGCCTGTGTATTTTGTTAACAAGGCTGTTAGCATTTAAGTCATATTCAGTTGTTGGAGGGAGGGAGCCGCTTGTTGATTCCCAGCTGCTTGGCTAGCTTAGACCCAAAATAATCACATAGCAACTGTATTAATATAATATAATAAGTTTTTTAATCATTACTTTAAATGCCATATTCTGCAGATCTCTCAAGTATGAGGGCTGCCTAGGTATGTCTGATTAGACAAACTTTGTTTCTAGTTACTTGTTTGACTTCGAAAACACATACAGGGGACTAAATAAGGCTTGTTCCCGTAATTAATTATGACTATTAACTTGTATTTCCTAGCAGTCTGTAGTAAGTTAGTAGCTTTCATGAGACTGGATTACATTCTATCAGGCTTATCCTTAAAAGAAATGATGTTGAGTTGAAACTAATAAAGACACTGAATGAGTCATTCCAAGGATAAAAACAGCGCAAGTTTGTATCCAGCCGTTAATACTGTCTCCTCCAAAAGCTCTTTTCTCAATACCCTCTTAAAGATATTACCCTTATCCTCATCATTGCTGTTTCTATGTGTTTTTATTAGAGCAAAATAGATACAATGTAAAATCAGCCCATACGGTCATCTGAAGCCTATCGACCACTAGCATAACGTATTTTCACAGTGTTGCGCAACCCTCACCTCCACCCATCTCATCAGTGCTCACAGAAACTTTGCACTTCATTGCTGTTCCGATAGCCTTCTTCTGATGGCCTGTTGATGAGGGAGAGGACCCTGCTCTAGGGGAGGGGGGGGGGAAGGCTACACACATGACAGGTGACCCTGGAAGGCTGAGACGACAGCGATTGCAACTTATCCGTCGTCTACATTCACAGCCTTGAAGAGGAATGCAGCGTGTGCCACACAGGGCTGCCCTCCAGAACAGAGATGAACGGGAACCGTTGAGGACTCTGGATAAGATACCCACCGGCTCCCAGAAACGGTGTGTTGGCTTGTTCTAAAACTTCACGTGGTTGCCAGGGAACTAAAGTCCACCACCTAAGCATCAGCAGGAACTGCCCTGAGCCCCCGTGACAAGGTAGTCTGTTTGGCAGGGAGATCTTATCCACGTGACCGCGTGAGGAGGGTAAAGTCAAGTTAAGTCATGCAAGGTCATTCAATGTCATCAGATGTCAAAAGCTACATAATGGTAAGCCTGAGTTTTCAGACTTCTGCCAAAGCCATTTCCAACTCCTTTCCATGGTTTAGTCCTTTGGGTACCTGCCGTCATGTATTAGCCATCATTATAATCTACCTAGTCACATGACTAGATCATCAGGACAAGGGTTTCTTTAGCCATCATTATAATCTACCTGGTCACATGACTAGACCATCAGGGCAAGGGTTTCTTTAGCCATTATAATAATCTACCTAGTCACATGACTAGACCATCAGGGCAAGGGTTTCTCTAGCCATCATTATAATCTACCTAGTCACATGACTAGACCCATCAGAACAAGGGTTTCTCAGTGTTTGGCATCCTGTTGTATGCTCAATGCCCCAAGTGTACTAAGCACAGAGATTCACCTCAATAAATATTTTTTAAATTAATCAATAGTATTTCTTTCACATTTTGTCCTATTTGCAAATGCATTTTCTTATAAAGTATCCACGTTCACAAATCACCACGTGTTAGGTTTTTGCAATGATGAAATATCACTTCTAAATAACCAGGACGAATCGTTTTGTGGTTTCAGCCACTGTGAGGAGCGAGGCAATGCTAGACAATTGCATCTCTCAGACCTCCAGAGAAGCTTCCCTGTGCCGAGGGTGCTGCAGATACTCAAAGCTGATCCGAGCACAGATACAAATGTCAGTGCAGCGCTCATTCACAAAGGGAGCTTCTGTATCGCACCTCCTCCCCAAGGCTTAGGGAGCATCATGGGCAAAAAAGGCAGAAAGATTGTACGAGCCAGAGTTTGGGGAGAACCAGAGGGAAACTGTTTCCTGGATGTGGCAGGACCACCGTACTCATGAATGCATGGCATCTGTGCATGCCTGTGCAAAACTTGCACAGGATCAAGCTGGTCACATTGCCGCATGGAAGGGCAGGGGCCCTAGCCGAGGCCCTATTGACAGTCTGTCTCGATTTTCTGATTTACCTTGAGGAAATGGCTGTAAAAGCCAGCCACAGACTTAGCCCAGAGCCTGGATTCCCAGGCTTCAATTTCCACAGAAAATTTGGTAGCCTTGAGGCAGTCATTTGGCTTTTGAACACTTTAGTTTCCTAACCTGTAAAATGGGGTAATAGCCAAATTACCCATGTTTTACAAGGATGGCATTAAATGTAATTAAATAGTAAGCTGAAGGCTTATTAAATATCGGGGAGGTTTAGTGCAGTCATCATTACCCAACACGGGGTCATGTGCTTGCCTACAACCCGAGGGGCCCAGTCCCTAGCTGATTTACTTCAAAGCCCCAGCCTCATCTCTGTCATTCTCACGGAGCTGCTGACCTTGCACTCGGGATCCAGAACTTCACACCACTGCCGCCAACACCCCCAACATCTGAGTCCACGGGTTCTCTCTCTCATCATGGATACTCTTACCTAGAAATGGTGATTGGTTTCAATGGTTTGTTTTTTTTTTTTTTTTTTTTTTGGTTTCTTGTTTGTTTTCTTTTTCATTCTTATTTCTGCCTGAATTTGTAATTGGGTTTACTTGCTTTTCTTTAAACTTCTTAAGATAGAAGCTTAAATGAAATTCAGACACGCCTTTTTCTCTACTGTAAACATTAGTGCTATAAATCTTCCTCCCATGTACTACAATAGCTGCATCTCACACATTCTAATAAACAATAATTTAGTACAATTCAGTTCAAAATATTTAAAATTTATTTGATCATTGTATTTTTTCAGGAGTGCATTTATCTCCAAATACTTAGAAACCCCTCATGTCTGAAGCTGGTTTTCCTATTGCCAAATGAGTTGTATTTTTAAAAATAATATTTATTCAGAATAAAGTAAGACACAGAGAACAAAAAAAAAATCCCGCTAACTGAGAATTCCCAATGCACACATGAAAGTACCAACCTTCCCCAGCCATCAAATCAGACGGTGTGGTTTGCTGGGGCAAGATCAACAGGAGTTTCTGGCCATCCTGAGAGACACAGCACACTCCATGCCAGCCAGGACTACATACACAGTGACGCCCTGTCTTAAACAATAAAACAAGGTTGGAGAGGTGATTCAGTGGTAGGAGCTTTTCCAGAGGACACTGGCTTGGTTTCTGGCACCCACACCCAGGCGCTCACATTTGCCTGTAACTCCCCTTCTTCTGGCCTCTCTGAGTACCCGTACGCACATCATGCACAGACACACGTGGAGGAACTCATATATACACATACAGTCAACTGACGGTACAAGTGTAGCTGGCAGATGGAAAGGGCTTGAGAGAGAGAGATGATCACAGGAGGAACAAAAGGAACAAGACAATGGAGTCTGTGCATAACAGCATCCGGACCAGGGGCACCAATGCCCAACAACTCCACGACTACTCCTAGAAATCTACAGATGTGATTTCAATGCCACCAAACAGCAAGTGGCAACAGGCAGCGAGGCCGGGACACGCAGGCTGGGGAGCTGGCCCATTGGCCCATTCCAAAGCAGTGGAAAGCAGTTCCGGCTCTGCGGTCGTGCATGCCAGGTTGCTGCTGGAGACCCTGCCAGGAGTATTTCGCTCAGTAGTCCTTGAACTATACTCGGATTTGGTACTCCTTCACATTAATCCTTGTCGCCAGTGCCACGTGGTCCTCCTACGCCCAGTACTTGCACTTTTTTGAAGTGTCTTTCCCCAGTTCCTGCTCCTCGGTATACATGCTTACTCCTGCTGCCGTCTCCTCCTAGTGCTGGAGAGACTGGGATCCCCGAAGAACCTGGGAGCCAGAGTAGCCTGGGAGAGTTAGGGACACTTGGAAACCCGTGTAACCTGAAGGAGCCTGGAACATTTGGAGGCTTGGCTGCATTGGGGGGCCTGAGAACGCAAGAAGGGGCTGTGTACACTGGAAGGTTTGACGGTACCCAGGGAAGCTGCTTGCATTGAAGGGCCCAGGAGACTCTGGTGTCTCCATCCCGTTCTTGAGACTGATTGTTAACTGAGTTATGATCTGAGAGTGTAGTCTGTATAATTTCAGTACTTTTGAATTTGCTGAGACTTGCTTTATTGTCTAACATACAATCTAGCTGGTGAATAGTTGACTGATGTACAGTTGAAAAGTTGAACATTTTCTTGTTATTACGGTTGTGTAACAAATTAGAAAACCTGTATCTGTAGACCCTAAATTCGTGACGCTGAGACAGGAGAACTGCTGGAGGTTTGAGCTAGCCTGGGCTACATAATAAGTTCCAAGTCAGCCCGAGCTACAGAGTCTGACCCTGTGTCAAAAAGGACAACAAAGAAAGAGCAGGTGGGAGCGGTAAGGAAAACCATCTTGGTGGACGTTACATAAGTGTCCCACGTCTGGGCTGAAAATTCCAAGTTAGCAAGAGCCAGCCAGATAGCTCAGGGTGAAGACCCCACCCCCAAGCCTGACAACCCAAGTTCAAGCCCACAGCAGGAGAGACGTGACCCTCACAAGTGATCTCACCTCCAGGAGTACACTGATACTCCCCGATCCCACTACACACACGAACAAAAAGATAATTAAATTCTTTTTAAACTGGCTATGGTGGCACACACCTTTAATCTCGGTACTGGGGAGACAGAGGCAGGTGGATATCTATGAGTTTGAGGCCAGCGTGGTCTACAGAGTGAGTTCCAGACTAGTCAAAGCTACATAGTAAGATCCTGTCTCGAAAGACAAAAATGAGATTTAATTTTTTAGAAAGTCATCACGAGTTTTCAGTTACAACTGAGGATTTATCCTTTCAGCTCCGTCATTTTTTAATTATTTATTTTTTATGTGTATGGATGTTGTATCTGCATGTATATTTATGTGCTGGGTATGAGCCTGGTGCCTGTGAAGGCCAGAAAGGGGGGGTCAGATCCCCCTGGAACTATACTTATAGATGGTTGTAAACCATCATGTGGGTGCTCAAAGTTGAACTCAGGTTAATCTGGAAGGTCAGCTGGTGCTCTTACCCACTGACTCATCTCTTCGCCCTTCATCAGTTTTAAAAAATGTATTCTATGTGTGTGAATGTTTCAACTGCATGTTGTAAGCGCATCCATGTATGCCTGCTGCCCTCGGAGGTCAGAAGAGGGCATCGGGTGCCTGGAACCGGAGTTATGGGGGCTGTGAGCCACATGTGGGTACTGAGGTCCTCTGCAAGAGCAGCAAATGCCCTTAACTACTAAACCATCTCTCCAGCCTCAGACCCATTTTTTTTTTTGCTTCATGAATTTTTTGTTTGTATACAGATCTTAGATACATGTGCATTTGGAATTATTTATTGTTTTCATGATTAACTGACTTGTTTTTATATTTTAATATGAAATAATTTTTACCTTTGAACATCTTTCTTTCTCCTCCCCACCCCGAGACAGGGTTTTTGCTGTAGTTTTGGAGCCTGTCCTGGAACTAGCTCTTGTAGAGCAGGCTGGCCTTGAACTCACAGAGATCCACCTGCCTCTGCCTCCCAAGTGCTGGGATTAAAGGCATGTGCCACCACTGCCCAGCTTTCAAATATGTTTCTTATCCTAAAATATATGTGTGTATACATATATATGTGTATATATATATACA